CGAGGGCTCGAAGCTGGTTGCTATGTATTTATATATATATATATATATATATATGGATATATATGGATATATATTTATGTATATATATTTGTATATATATGTATATATATATTTATATATATATCATTAATGAATCATTTAATGTATTCATGACTACACTTGATTTTTGTTAGAAAATTAAAGCAACCAGCTTCGAGCCCTCGCTCAGATCAAATTCTCGCGATATTAAACGTTAGTATGTGTTTGGCGTTTTATACCCACGTGACCTCTTTCGTCCAATCACTTCTCTTTCTTTTCTCAGTGAAGAGCGCGAGATCACTAAACGAGCCTATTAACGCTGTAGCATTTCTCATATCGTTGTTTTTTTATTATACTTTTTTCTTCTTGGTGTGCAACAATCTTGTCACTCATGGCGGAGCCCAGAAAAAGACAGCGACTTAGTCAAATCATGAACAGCTCACAAACCACCTCGAGCATTGCGAACATTTTCAGGGACGGTCAGCCCAAATGTTCCGAAGAACGTGATCGGTTTGTTGAGGGTTCCGTACATCGCATCGCGATGAAAAACTTCCTGTAAGTTTGTTTGTTCCTGTAAGTTAGTTGCGTCTTCTTCCAAAGCACAACAACACTGGTAAACATGTCAGAAGGCCATAGCATGCTTCATGCCATGTTTATATATGCTACAGTATTTGTTATTGTATCATAAGCGCTGACATTTTTAAACATAAACCTGCAGTTTGTCAACAGAAGCTAGCATGTTTCAATGGCTCAACGGCAGTATGCTAACAACCACAAGTAAACAGTTAAATCTGGAGCTGTCATATCACAGATCTGAACCCTTTTTAATTGAGATCCCGTGAAGTTATTGTGTAATTTCTGCCATTTTAGTAACGGCATAAAAATAAAATGTAGTTTTTGTTGTTTTTATTAATTTTGAGACCAATCCAGACCGTCACGTTGGTAAATTGTGTATAAAAAAGGAAAGTGGAAGACAGCAGAAGTCAGCTCAAAAGAACAAACAATCCCCCAAACACACACATGGTCATGTATTTGGTTTGTGCTACATTTAATTTAATAAATTGGAACAAATTGTCTAATGGTGACACAGTTTGTAATACTAAAGATTCAACACAAAACATTTTTTCCAAGTTGTCTGTTATATGTCGACATGGTACTGGTTCTTTTGATTAATTTAGGAACCTTTTTGTGTTTGCACGATACTTCAGAGGTAATTATCAAATCATTAAAAACCTCACTCCCTCTTTGCTTTTTGTTCAAATCCAGCTAGACCTGAAGAGGAGCTGAATGCTCAACGGCCTTTAATCAAATGAGATTTCAATACAAATGTACAAATTGAAGTCTTGGATCCTGATGCATCCAATAAATTTAATATTGAGCTACCATCACTTTAGCAACATTCATTTATGTGCTGCTTGAAGTGGCACTTGTGCTTTAAAACTCAGCAGAAAATATTAAATGTCTACTCTGTCCACTGACAGGACATATGACTACTCTGTGGTGTATCCTGGACCCAATCTGAACATGATTGTTGGTGCCAATGGGACTGGAAAGTCCAGCATTGTGTGTGCCATCTGTCTGGGTCTGGCTGGGAAGACGGCTATTCTGGGGAGAGGAGACAAGGTAAACATCAGTGACACACAACCGCAAGTTCATGAACTCATCCTGGGCTTGATTACTACTAATAACATTCAGGAAAGGAACATAATTGGATTTTTATTAAAAAAAAATAAAGATGAAATGGAAAAAGTTCAAATATTTTGCCTATTTTTTGGGATTTATTATTATCTAGAGACAAAGCTGCACATTACAACAACTGTTCAATTTCTTGCTTCAAAAATAAAAAAGCACTACAAATTTTATGTTTAATTGTACATTAATAAAAACATAAAATGTTACTTTTTATTTATTTACACCATTTCTCAACAAAACCCTAGAATTCATATAAAAGACTGAACTTTTTAAATTTCTGATCATGATTATTAGTACAACTTTTATTTTTCTGTAGGTTGGGCTCTATGTCAAACGTGGCTGCCATAAAGGTTTCATTGAGATCGAACTGTAAGTGATCAAAAATAGATTATATTTACCGTCACTTTTACTAAGACATCATTTTGTATTTCGTGGTTTGAAAATTGTTTATGAAGCAACTCAAGTATTAAAAAATTACATTACTCAACAGCTAAAATGTTTTTTTCTCTGCAAATCAGATAAATAATAGTAATGATGTTAGAAATTTTTGTATTTATTGGATCGTTTTTTTATTGTTATAGGCACAAAAATGGTGGTAATGTGATCATTAATCGAGAAATCCATGTGGAGAACAATCAGTCCCTTTGGATGCTTAATGGGAAACACTGCAGCCAGAAAATTGTGGAGGAGGAGGTCAAAGCTCTGCATATCCAAGTCAGCAACCTGTGCCAGTTCCTGCCTCAGGTACGTCTGTGCAGCTGTCGTGTAACGCTGGCTTCCGATCATGTTTAGAATTCACTTTTAAATCCTCCTGTACACATTCAAGGCCATCCACAACCTCACCCCTCCTTATCTGTCCGATCTGCACGTCACCATCCATTCCCACGCCCCCTGTTCTTCCTCTTCTATCCACCTCACTGTGCCCTTCGTCTGCCTCAGCACCATGGGAAACAGAGCTTTTTTCCACTCTGCTCTCCAACTCAGGAACTCTCGTTCTCCAGACATCTGCAATATTGACTCTTCCTTCCTTCGAATCACTCAAAACCCATCTGTTCAAGTTACACTTCTCACTCTAATTACTTAATCATTTCTGCTTGTTTTTAAATTTTAGTATGTGCTTTTTATTTTAATTTTATACTGTATTGTTTTTAATATTATAAAGTGTCCTTAGGTATCTTGAAAGGCGCTAAGAAATACCGTAACATGCATTCCCAGTGCTTCACGTAAGCATAATGAATTCGATTGTAATTCACAATGTGTTGCTCCTTTTCCTTTGTTTGGTGTGTTTTTCGTGACAGGAGAAAGTTGGAGAATTTGCTAAAATGTCTAAAATTGAGTTGCTTGAGGCAACTGAGAAGTCCGTTGGACCACCAGAAATGTATGAGTACCACTGTGAGCTAAAAAACTTCCGCACCAAAGAACGAGAACTGGAGGTAAAGTGACAAGAACTTTTCCTTTTTTGAATCTGTTTGGACAACTCCTGACAGCATCTAAACTGAAAGGCAGTCATCATTGTTACTAGATTTTTGATTTTGTTCATAAATCACAATTAAAATTTCACTGTATAATATTGACAAGTTTTTGGTGTTGGAAGGAATGTAAAGGGAAATCTTGTGTTTTTGACTTGATGTTTCTCTGTAGAACGATTTGAAGGAAAAGGCGAGCTTCCTGGAAAAGGCCAAGCAGAGGAATGAGAGGAACAAGCATGATGTGAATCGGTACTATGAAAAGAAGAGGCATCTGGACGTCATCGAGCTGCTGGAGAAGAAGAAACCGTGGGTGGTGAGTTGCTGACCTGGGATGCTGTGCACAAGAAGAAGAAAGTATACAAGCATGCATTCTTAATTCTTTCCACTGAATCTCAGGAGTACGAGACCACACGTAAAGAACTTGAAGGTGTGAAAAAAGAGCGTGAGGAGGCCAAGAAGCAGCTTTCTATCCTGAAGCAGGCGCAAGCACCCATGCTCACGAAGATCCAGCAGATTGATGACCAACTGAAGCCCACCGAGGCACAAATGAAGGCTAAGGTAACAAACTGAACAATGATCCTCCCTGATGTGTCTGGTTTTAAAGCAGGGGGTTGAAGACACAAATTGAAGCACAAATGGACATTTTTTACTAAATATATATATTATATATATATATATATATATATATGTTTTCAATAATATTTTTTATTTAAAGGCTTTTATTCCAGTTTAACTATTTCAAGTTCATATTACATGTCAGTGAGATATTTATTGCCTGAAAGGCAGATAATGTTTTTTTTTTTTTTGCCCTTGTCTGTAAGTGTGTTTTCCTGTCTCTACAAAATACCTCATGAATCTGTGGATGGATTTAAAATAAACTCAAAGTAATCATTAGAGGCACAGCTACAACTAATTAACTTTTGAAGTCATTTTAAATCAGGATGGCCACCATAGCTGAGGTTAGCATACACAAAAATGACTAGAGCTCAGTCAGTTTTACATATGAGCTAAAATTTGGTGTGGTAGTAGCTGAGACTCATCCCTACTTCATACATAAGATCTTTGATAATGTTCTTTACTAGGTTTGACCAAAACAGCTGTAACTCGCATCAATTCTCATTCTCAACATAGCATGACGTAAGCCATTCTACTTTTTCACTGTAGGTTGGATTCTGTGTGTTTTTCTGATTACTGTCATTAAGATGAGCTTGTTGCGTTTCAGACCGCTGCTATCAAAGAAGCCTCACTCAAGTGCAAACAGAAACAAGATCAGCTGGATCGCAAAAACAAAGAGGTGGGGCTGATCGATCAGAGAGGAGGAGAAAAATGTACACATGTCTGAGCTGAAAACACTTAAACCATGTTCACGATGTAAGATTATATGTGGCTGCCAGAAGTTCACAATAAATGAGGACCTGTTCTCTACAGATTGACGACATTAAACAGACACTGAGGCTGAAGCAGATGGAGGAGGAAGACCACCAGAAGCGAATCACCAACACCAGACGAACCATCGAAGACCTGAAGGCAGAGCTGGACAAAATTAGCGACCAGCCGGATGTGACTCCACAGATTAATGCTGTTAATGTGGAGCTCAGGGGAATTCAGCAGGAGAGAGCAAAGATGGAGGGAGAGAGGGCCGACCTGCGCAGGGAGAAGGACAATGTCACAGCTGAGTCCACAAGTTAGTTTTATCCATTTTACCACCAACAAAACTCAGCATAGATAATAATTTAAGATACTGCTAGGTGTACTAAATTCAGTTTTTTTATTTTCAGTGTTGAAGAAGAAGCTCAGTGACATGAACAACATGATGAATGCCAAAGAGGAGAGGCTTCGAGGTCGCCACAGAGACACGCACACTGCCCTCCAGTGGCTCAGAGACAACAGACAACTCTTTATAGGGAACGTCCACGAGCCCATGATGTTGGTGGTGAGTCCCACTGACGGACAAGTCTGACAAAAATGGTCAGCCTTATTAAAACAAATGTTAAATATGTCATCCTAGAAACGGCCATGCTTTGACTTTTGTAGCCATTTAAAAACAATTAATGGTATATAAATGCTAAAATAGATGAAATAAAACTACCTAAATAATTACATATTTACATCACAAGACAGTTAAATAAAGAATCTTCCTTCTTTATTTTAATTTTTTTTAATTAGAGGGAATTCGTGTCTCAGGACTGATTGTTGATGAAACACCTGAACACATTTATTTCCCCCCTAAATATAAATTGTCCTAATGGTAGCTCTGCCTTTTTGCCACAGATTAATGTGAAGGATCATCGTTTTGCGAAGTATGTGGAGAACCACATCTCTTTCCACGACCTGCGAGCGTTTGTCTTCCAGAGGAAAGACGACATGGAGAAGTTCATGACTGAGGTCAGGGTGGTGTCCAGCTTTTTGGAGGACAGACAGTTTATGTTATATTTACATTATACAAACTGTTTAAGTTAAATAAAGATGGTGTCTTTTTATGCTTAGGTTCGTGACAAGTTGAACTTAAAAGTCAACTCCATCTCCGCTCCGGCGGAGTCGTGTTCCAAACGAACGCCTTCAAGAAATATTGAATCACTGAGGTGAGAATGAAATGCATTTCTGTATCTGGAAACTAGTTTAGAATATTTTATACATGCAACACATTTTACCAAAAAGTTTTTATTATTTTATACAGTATTAGTTTTCTGCATGTTTTTCTGTTCATTTTTTTTTTTTATCAGATGGCTCAGAAATAGAAGCTGACCTTTCAGTCCTTCAGACGAAACATCACGCTATCTCTTGCAGAAAAACTGTCCTGCTCTTGAACATTTCAGTCTGATTTAAAACATTAACTCTGATTTTACCTTTAAAGTTGTCTAAGAGCACCAGGTATGTCTGTGACTGTGTCCCACTAATGACCTGTGTGTGACAGTTTCTTTCTCTCGCTCAAGCTTTCAAACACAACATTGCATCTTACCACTTGGCTGTACATGGTGTATACCAGGGCTATTCAACTGGCAGCCCGGGGGCCAAATTAGGCCTACGGATGAACTCAGTTCGGCCCACCAATGAGTTCATTTTAAATGAACTAGATTTTAAACCATTAAACAAACTAACTTAATGACAATAACCACTGGATGTCTGGCCCCTGAGCTCATGGTTTTCAGTAACTGTGACCCCCTGTAGTTGAACAGCCCTGGTGTGTACAGTATATTATAAAGTCTGATAAGATTTTATCGTTTGTCCTGTTCTGTAAATGAAATGAAAAGCTTTAATATGCTAAAGACCAAGCAAAATGGTGGCTGATTCAGTGGTGTTGGCCTTATTGGTCAGATCAGCAGTTAACATCTTAGTCTGAATTTTGACCTTTTTAATGCACCGTTCTGTTCATTAAGATAAACGAACAACCAACAAGAAAAACAAGTTGATGTTGGTGAACTTGATTCCTTTATTTTTCCTTGCATTGTTTTAATGCTCCCTGTTACATTTTTTGTCTTCTCTCTGCAGTCGTTTTGGGTTCTTCTCTTACCTCCGGGAGATGTTTGATGCTCCTGAAGAGGTGATGAGTTACCTCTGTTTTCAGTACAGGGTGCACGATGTGCCGGTGGGCAATGACCAAACCAAAGCCTTGATTAAAACGGTACGTTCCTGTTGTTACGCGCATTAACGTTTCTATAAAGAAACGGAGAAAAAGGATGCTCTTTGAAATGGATTTTTTTCTGTAGTAGATGATACCAGCTATATCAGCCTGATTTATGAATAGTCACTGAATGGGATTAAACAACTCCTAAATTTAAGATATTTTCCATAATTTATTAAAGCTAAAATTGCAAGTGTGTGTCATTTTTTTAAAGATGAGTTTTTGTTTAACTTTCATTTTTGAAAGTTTATTTTTACTTGTCAGCTGATGTTTCTCTCCCCACCCCCAGGTGATTGAGGAACCCTACATCAAGGTGTTATACACAACAGATGAGAAGTATCAAGTAAAACGGTCGTTTTATTCCAACAAAATAAGCACCAGTAACTCTGCAGTGCTTCAGTCTCAGTACCTCACAATCACTGTGGATGCTGAGAAGAAACGGCAGCTGGAGCAGCAGCTGCAGGTAATAAAACTAATCTAGAAGCAAAATCAAAACACTTTTCTTTAGCTTCTGTCATTAATTTGAACACATGGGACCTTGGTATGTTTAGGTATGTATTGTAATTTAGGGTTTCTAGAGTTTAGCTGAGGCGAGAGTCAAGTTGCCTATTTTTGCTTCAACCAGGCCTGCGAGGTAAAGCTGCGAGACATCAGCGAACGGATGAAGGCCCTGCAGAAAGAAGCCACTGCACTGGACCGCCGTGAAAATGAACTGTTGTCAGAGAAGAAGAGACTTTCTGAAATAAAGGGGAGAAAGAGACAACTGGAGCAGAAAATCAGCACTAAACAAGACAGGTAAGCCTTTGGCACAACATCAGAAAGTCTCATAAGTAGGATTTTTTTCCTCTTTAAATACTGGTGCATTTACCTACTTAAATATTAGATCAGGGATCTGCAATCTGCAGCTCTGGAGCTACATGCGATTCTTTGGTTCCTCCGGAGCGGCGCTTTCAAGCTTTGACCAAAACTAACATAAAACTGAATTTTATTGGTTGTTATACAAACGACAAAAAGTATTCGTTTTAGCAGTTTTCCTGTAATTTCTTTTGCAAATATGTGAATATTGGAACATGTACAATGAGTAAAACATACTCACTTTAACTTTATTTCTATACTTAATTTTTTTTCCACAATAAAAAAAAAACGTAGTTCTGCATAGTTCATAGTTTTTATTAATTAGAAAACTACCCCCCACCCCCCAACAATTATCTGGTCTTTTCATTTGTCTTAAATTGTAAAAATATAAATTATTAGTTTTTTTTTAATATTTATAATGTCACCCCTAATGGCCACAAAAGCCCCCTCCAACAAACCTAAAGTGGCCCATGGGCCACCAGTTGATAATCACAGTTGTAGCAGGTTGTTGCGGCTCTGATCACTTTTAATTTAGTGAACGAAAGCGTAAAATGGCTCTTGATCGTAAAGTTTGCAGACCCCTGTATTAGATGATCTATTTAAGTTTGGTTAACTCAGACTTTATAAAATGACCCAAGCCTTTCTTCTCATATGTTTAGTTTGAGGCAGATGGAGCACAGCGCCATAGACCTGAAGAAGATTGAAGAGGAAACTAAAGAGAAAATTAAAGCTGTCAATTTCCAGAAGGTGACCATAGTCACTGCATTTGTGGCTCAGATGAAGGTATGGAAAATAAAACTTCAAACTAAAACCTGAACATTCTCTGCATTCATTGCATTAAAAACAATAAAAAATACTCTTTAGGGACAGTTTTTTTTCTTGATATTACAATCTATTTCTATGTGAAATGTTTCATTGTTGTCCCGTTGTCTTTGTGCTGTACTCTTTGTTTTTTTTGTCTTATCATCTGCAGCTGAGAGCCAATCTGACAATGGAGAAAGTGTATCTGGCTTTGGAGACAGTGGGGTTAACAGCAGAGAAGACCAAGCTCGAGAATGACTGTAGAGAAGGTGCCTCTGAGCTGAAGATGATGGATGTAAGGATTTTGCATACAAACAGTCATACGATAGCTGAGACAGTGTTGAATTCGTAGCTCTCAGGACTTCATTGTTTTTTTTTTGCTAACGCTTCCTGTGTTATTACAGCAAAAGTGCAGCCGTCTGGAGCAACGGAAGGTGCAGCTGACAGAACAATGCAAAGGTCTGCTGAGGAGAGCAAAGTCCATCTGCAAGATGCAGCCAGACGCGGTGTTACCTGAGGACCTCCGTAAAGTCAGTGTTCACTCTCCTTTTTTACATCTCTGGCCACAGATTTAAGATAATTGTTGCTGAGGCCTCTTGAGTTTTATAGTTCTTGATTTATTCATGCAGGCCTTCACCAAACTACCTGACACACTAGACGATGTTGATGCCATGCTAAATGAGGAGCGGTCCAGAGCTGAGTGCTTCACTGGTCTCAGCGAAAATGTAAGAGCTGAAGAACATCTTTTTTTTTTCTTCCCAGAACAATAAGTAACTTTAAACTAGAAAAAAAATCATCTTTTGTTGTAACTGGTTCAGTAATCTTAAAAAAGTTCCCTTTTTTTCCTGCAAATTTGCCAAGTATTTGTCCTGCTTATGGTCTTGACCTTGCAGGTTGTTGAAGAGTACAACAGGAGAGAGCAGGAAATCAAACATCTTGAGAACGAGCATAAGAAAAAGACCGACGCCCTCAACACCTACAGACAGAACATATCAGAGGTGCATGCTTATTTTACTGCGGTAGTTCTTCTGAAGTGTTTCTGTCATCTTCTTTGTGCTAAATTGGCTCCTGTGTATTAAATTTTATTTTATTTTTTTCTTTGTTGTGTCTGTCGCAGGCTAAAGAACGCTGGCTGAACCCTCTGAAGCAGCTGATTGAACAGATCAATGACAAGTTCAGTGATTTCTTTCGCTCCATGCAGTGTGTAGGAGAGGTCGATTTGCACTCAGAGAATGAGGTACATCCAGGCGCATGGTTTGTTTAAACATTAATAACTCCTGCCATTTATTCTTTAAAGAAACTCATAGCTCTTTTTTTTCAAACTAGCCTAACAAATAATTAAAAAAAGCAAGATTAATTTTTTTAACTATAAATTCTTTGGTGAATCTAAAATAAGAGCGATCATGTAAACAGTGTTGTGCTTCTACGCCTGGTTTTAAATTATTGATATGAAGGTTCTGATTATATTTAAGTATTTTATAAAACAGCATTTCAGATCGATCAACCACCATCGTCGTTGACTTTAAGCATTCTCGAATCAGTTTTTAATTTGTTACAAACATGTTTGCCATGGCCCTGCTGCCTTTCAGGAGGAGTATGACAAGTATGGGATCCGCATTCGAGTGAAGTTCCACAGCAGCACTCAGCTCCACGAGCTGACTGCGCACCATCAGAGCGGAGGAGAGCGCAGCGTTTCCACCATGCTTTACCTGATGGCCTTACAGGAGCTCAATCGCTGCCCCTTTAGAGTGGTGGACGAGATCAACCAGGTATGAAAGCTTAATGAAGGCATTATTTATGCTTTTGTTTAAGACTGGGGCAAATCTTTTAAGTCTGAAACTGGCATTAGAGGTGGCGAGTGGCGTGCAGTCCTTTAAGGAAGGGCAGGCTTTTAATTAAAAATATATTTATTTTTCTACCTACATGTCTCCAAGCGTTTATACACCAACAACTGCCCGCATACCGTATTTTCCGCCGTAAATGTCACTCCACCGTATAAGTCGCATCAGTCCAAATATGTCTAATAAAGTGGAAAAATCCATACATGTGTTGCTTCGCTGTATACGTTGCATCTATTATGCGTCACCGCTGACAACCTGGAAATGTGGGCCAGTGTTGTGCCAAAAATCAATTGGCTGCCAATTGACGGTCGCTGGGGCGTACATGGGAGGACTTTAACAAGAATTTAACAATATTAACACTTAAAAACAATTATTTGTTTGCTTTACTTAATAAATGCACTTTGATGGTCAAATCAGCTGTATTTCAAAACCCGGAATCGGGCATGCACAGTGGGACGAGCCGCTGTTCATTTCTTCGAATTTAAACAAGATAAACACCTAAAAACAATTGTTTGTTTGCTCGACTTTAGAGTAAAGGTGTGTCTCAGTCTAACGTTTGCTTAATAAAAGGACTTTAACAATCAAATTAGCTGTATTTCAAAAGTATTCGCTGCCTCGGTGCTCCGCGCAGACTGCGCAGAAGAAAAAAGGAGGAACGCTGCACGTTTCTTCTAAATTTAACAAGAAAAGCACCTAAAACAATTATTTGTTTGCTCGAAATTATAGCAAAGATGTGTCTCAGTTGAACTTTTACTTAATAAATGTACTTTAATGGTCAAATTAGCTGCATTTCGCTGGGGCAGTGAAATGCAGCTGATTTGACGGTTACTCCAAGCAGCGAGCAGAACGAAGGTGGCAGACTGTGGCAAGACGATTGTGTCATTAATAGCTGGTGAAGATTCTCAGTTATCCAGGACATGGTAAAATCAAAAAAGTTCAAGACAAAAACAAAGTATAAAGTAAAGTATAATAAATTAAGTCCAGTTGTTTTTGTCTTGAACTTTTTAGAATTTGTCATTATAGCCACTTTTACCTATTACATGATACAATGGCTGCGTTGCTACTCGAGTGCCATCTAGCGGCTGAAAAATGGTAGTGCTCAAATTTTTCAGAATGAATGAAAACAGTCATATCTCAGCCAAAAATTAGTTTATAAATATGGGAAAAAAAAACATAAATACGTCACTTTGGCCTGTAAGTCGCAGGGCATGCAAATTTTGCAAAAAACACGTGACTTATACAGAGAAAAATACAGTAATTAGATAACTCCGCTGTGGTCTTAGTTTTTATTTATTTTTTCTCCCAGGGAATGGATCCTGTAAACGAGAGGAGAGTTTTTGACATTGTGGTTCGCACAGCCTGCAAAGAAACTACTTCTCAGTACTTTTTCATCACACCTAAAGTAAGTGTCATGTCTAATGCGAGTGTTGAGATAATATCAAAGCATGGCAGCGTTTTACAGTGTTGCTTCTTGTTTCTGTGAGCTGTTTATGTTAGAGGCAGAAACTAAACAAGTGGATGTGTAACTAAACATGTTTAGAGTAAATAAGATTTTAGTACCGGGTATGCGCTTTATGGCTAACTGTGTATCTTCTTGTTAATGTTGTGTTTTTTCCCTCTGAACTTGTAGTTTTTATTTTTTCTTTTCTTTGCAGCTTCTGCAGAATCTTCAGTATGCTGAGAAGATGACTATTCTTTTTGTCCATAACGGTTCTTACATGCTTCCTCCCAACCAATGGGATGGGGACGCTTTCGTTCAACGTTTTCTCCAGAGAAAAGCCAGAGCATAAACTCATAAATTTAAATATCAATACATAACTGAAGAAAATAGGGGTATTGACATTTAAAAGACACCAGCAGAACAATAACGGCTTAAACTGGTTTATTTCCAGGACTTCAGGTTGGCAGCAACATTTTGAAGCAGCTTTAGTTTGGAAAGACCTGTGGAGGAAACATATACATGACTCACTCCAGGTGTTATCTCCCATAGACAGTGGATTTAAGATCAGATTACAACTGGCTGATCGTTTTCTGTGCACGAGTATCTGTTCTAATAATGATGAATGTTTTTAAAACTTGAACCAAACTTTACTCGTCATTTAAAAATGTGGATTGTCCTCTTTGGGTCGACCCATACTCTGATGTCATCCTCTCGCTCCTTTTCCAGCATTTCCTTCTCTAACATTTCCCTTTTTGTGCGGAGTAACGTTAAAACAACCTGAAGTACCGCCTGAACCACATCCCAAAACGCCCACGTTTGGTGCTTGCAGACGGTTTCCTTCTGGCACAGCATTTGGTTCTTGCTACAGAAGGCATCTTTTTTGTGGTCGTAGAGTAGACGGTCGTCAGCTGGAAGTCGAGACTGTCGTTTTGAATCTGAGACTGAGGACAGAACAACAGATTTTCTGACAGTGGTCTTTCTGTTGACTCTAAAGTGGATGCTGGCAACGCTACCTGATGGGGTCGGGTGCTGGCTGCAGTGACTGTGTCTCCAGGGTTCCTCTTTTTGGGTCACGTGACTTGTTTTTTTTAACATGCTTTGCACATTCCCTGAAAAATTATACGCACAGTTTTAGATTTACAAGACTTAATTAATTGCATTACATGTAATAAACGAGCAGTAGGCCTATGTACCCCCTCGCTAAAAGATTTGAATATAACTTTTTTTTTTTTAATAGGAATTGAATAGGGAATGCAAGTAAACTTTAATATTTTTGGTGCAAGGTATTAATGTAGGTAGGAACAATATGTGTAGAAGTGGGGTAGTTTTTTTTTTTTTTTGGTGAGGTGGCACAGAGTCATGGAACCTGGCGAGCGAAGGGTACAATTTTACGTCACCAGGTGCAATGGCGGAGCCAGGGGGTGGCCAGTGGTGGCCAGTGGTGGCCTTGGCTACCTTAGATTAAGCTTGGGTCACCACAGTCATTTGAGGAAACTAAACAAAAACGAAAGCATCATTTCCTTCTATTCCTAAATGCAGCTACACCAAAAAATAAGTTGGCCCATTGCTTATTTTTTAAGTTATCGAGCTCACAGGGTTTATATATATGTGGTTGTGGCCATCTTAGATTTTGACATGGCAACCCAGTTTTTACAAGAAATCTTTCTTATGTCTAGATGCAATGCCACACCAAAATGGAAGTCAGTACCAGACTTTTTTTTCCAAGTTATCGAGCTAACGACATGCACAGATGGAGAGAGTTTCCAATCCCCCTTTTTTGCTTTGTGATGGGGGACAAATATATTCGGAACAGGAAGGTAAATGTAAGCATGAGCACAAATCATAACTTGTTTAAACATTCTGACGTTTTCTGGTTGAAATTGTACAAGTGTCATGAAGCATATACTCAAAACTTATTTTTATACATTTTTCAATATACCTTATTTTAAATTTCCAACAGAGTATTGAGGATGCTGCCTAACGCTAGAATACACAACTCAAACCTGATGTTGCCATGTTCATAAGTACATGTACTTTAAAATTTTCTGTCAATCCACTTAACGACCAGCGTACTTACCTACATTTACCAACAACAAAACATTTATTTAGAGGAAAGTTAAAGTTTTGTTATCACATTTAAATTTGTAGCAAAACAGAATTGAATTGTTGATTTTACAAATATATTCAGTTATTATTTTTCTATATGAAGTTTTAAATGGCTGCAAAGATCCCGGTTTTCCTCATCTGACTAAACTGTTAAAAAGGTGAAGCCTCCAAAAGCTCCAGTTTCTTTGTTGAAACTGGTTTGTAGTATTTGCACTGAAACTTTGTCTGGGAATAACAATAAGACACAGTATCAAGTTACAGGATTACGTTTTAGACAAGGGTTTTGTTTAAAATTCAAAGTCATGCATTGAATTTTAAACTTGTATGTATATTGCACGGTTTTATTACATAATTCTGTTAACTTGGACCATCAAAATATGTTATTGGGCTTTTAATAAATAAAGTGTTAAAAAATAAACCTATAAATCCACTCTTTTCTCTTTGTGTTAATAGTTGATGTAATTGTCTCTGTCCCATAGTCCAACTACAAACGATGGGGTGACCCGGCTTTTCGGTTGTTACACACAGACTCTGGAACCAGCTACCTCAGGACTTGCGCTCCATCACTGACATGGAGCATTTTAAATCTAATCTTATAACCTTTTTATTCAGGCAGGCTTTTAATACCTAGTAGGTCTTTGACAATCTTGCTTTGTTTTAATTGTTTTTGTTTTTAACTGGCTGATTTTTTATTCTCGTTTGTTTTTTAACTTCTGTATTGTGCAGCACTTTGTGCACCTTTTGGCTGCTGGAAAGGGCTCTATAAATAAAGTTTGATTGATTGATTGTCAGAAAAAAACTTCTTGATTTCATCAGCAACACAGACATCATTATACTGTATGTATAAAACTGCTCATATCTGTTCATATGCTCGTTATTCTTGTATTGAGTTTGTGTTCAAATTTTACCAAAGCCCTCAAAGTAACTTTTTAACCTGAAAGTGTGTGTGTGTGTGGGGGACGTGGTGGTGGGTGGGGGTGGGGGGGGGGGGGGGGGGGTGAAGAGGTGTGTGATTACTTTCTGCTCAACCCCTTCCATCACTTCAGGAGGCAAGCAATAAATGTTGCTTTCTGTTCACCTCAGTACCAATCACAGTTAAACTCAATTCAGATTATTTTATTCTATCTCAAGGGGCAATTCGATGGCATAAAAAATAGCTACACACACCTATTAAAGATTATCACAGGTGCTAACTGTGTAGTAACTGTTGTTAAAAAATTAGCGTTTTACAAATATTAAATACTAGAAAAAATGCATTTCCTGCAAAAATTGCAGAAGAACTTGCTGAAATTAGCTAAAACATGCTGAAATGGAAGAACAAACCTCAATTAGCAGAAGAAAACACATTTGGTTAATCAGGTTTAAATAAGCAGAAATAAGCTAATTACTAATTAGCTAAAAAAGCTGAAATTTGCACAAAAAAATAGCTGAAAAGGCAGAAGTTTAAATTGCTAGAAGGAAATGGAAGCTGAAATGAGCTAAAAATGTGGAGTTAGCTGAAATGGCTAAATAACAGCTGGAATAGCAGAAAAATGCTGAAAGAACCATGACAAGCTGAAATTAACAGAAGTTAGAAGAAGCACAAAAATGTAGTTAGCAGAAAGAATCAGAGGAGCACAAAACAGCTGAAACCATGTTGAAATTTGCACAAGGAAGCTGAAAGAAGCTGAAGCGGAACAAAATGTGAAAGGAGCAGTAAAAGGTTGAAAACGGATCTAAAGATTTGAAGGAGGTAAAATGAGCTCAATTCATTTTCTATGAGAAAAAAGTGGCAGAAAAGGCTAAATATTTCAAAAAGCTAAAGTTGCACCAATACCAAAAGTCATAGGATTGTCCTAAAAGAGCTGAACGTTTTGATATATGATTTGTTGAAAGGGCACAAAAATTATGGAACGAGAAAAATGCAGAAAAATGTACGGAAGAATTTAGAAGTGGCAATAGGATCGCAATAGTGTGAATGCTAAGTAAGCATTCACACTATTATGCCTTTTGCTTCTTTATACAGGTATTATCTCAAATATATGTCTTTACATCTGATAATCATGCAATACTATTTTATAATCATAACTTAGCATTTTATAGATGTGCACTCGTATTATGAATTAGAACATCCACGTCATGATAAAACTTTCTTTTCGACTGCTCCTTTCTTTAGAGGTCACAGCAAGCAAACTCATATAAAAGATTTGGCAATTGTTTTACTCCTGATGCCCTTCCTGATGCAACACGGACTTGAACCCACAACCTCATGTCCGCCACACTGACCACAGAGCTACAAAATTATGATTAGCACCTCATAAGCAAAACTAAAATGTGGCTGAAATGTGTTTTCATGTGTAGTTAAGATTAGTTCTTTCCCAAGTCTAAACACTGATTACAATCTTAAGTAGCGGCAGTAAGAGTTAGTCAGGCAGATAAATAATAAAAAGTGGTCAGACCAATAAAACAGCAAATAGCCTGCCAGGATTTTGCTCACAGTTGAGTGATAAGCTCCGCCCTCTGCAGCACCTGAGGGCTCAGGTCAGCTCTCTGCTCCTCTGTCTCCATCATTTCAGCACCAGCAGAGCTCTGTGATGCATGGAGGCCTGAGACACCTGAGCCTGTGTGCTCCCTGCACTCTTCTACTCTGGCTGCTTTTTGCACGCACATCTGCAGATCTTCCCATGTGCAAGGAGGTGAGAAGATTTATGTGATTGTCAAACACTGCTATCATTAGAAATACTAACCGTAGTTCGGTTCCTTTTTAGTCCGGACCCCACTGTGGGAAACGGGCTAAATGCACATGTACAATTTGTTACAACTCTTAAAATAGATTAAATAATTGGTGTAAATTGCTTTAAAATTGTTATGGAGGCATTGTGTTATCTTGCTCTTGTTTCTCCAACAATCATTTGGTGGAACAGAAGCTGAAAAGTTGTGCACGAGTCATAAATTGCTTATACACTTGTGGATGAAATGCCAGCAGAAACAAACACTATTAAATATCACGCAAAGTGTTTAACTTTCCAATTGAGACAGTATTTGCTGGTGTTTGCTCACAGTATTTGCTCATGAGTTTTCATGGAAGAATACAGTAATTATGACGTTTAAGAAATGTTTGTCAAGAAACCTGTTCAAGCTGTGAGCGTGGCAAATGTATATTTAAAGAATAACGATCAAAATGTCAAGTATTTATTACCATCTTCATCTTCAAGAAACACATTTTCCTAGTTTGAATTGAGTTCCAGCATTGATGTCACAGTTATGAGACCCTTACACCTCCATATGTTGCATCACTCTGTGCTCACCTCACCCACCTACTGTACATCTGCTTTCACTTTGCATAACAGCTGTCCTGTTTGATAAAAACCTCAGACCGTTTTTTTTATCAGCTTACTTTTCCTTTGGAACATGTAGTGCGAGGAGCTGTAAGATTAGCGGAGCTGAGGTAGCGTTCCCAGCAGGTGATTCTGTTTCCATGTGAGTGTTTCTGACCATGAGGCCCCAGCTGTCGGGATGTCCCGTTGCCTTGGTTTCCACATGTTTGTTTAAAGACGGTGATTAGGTGCATCTCCAATTCACTGCATTTTTACATCAGACTCAAACTCGCATTCATCTCTCGTCTCCGGTGATCTTTCTGTTTTCCCCACAGGAGTGCTGCTGCTGCGTTTCTGTTAACTATTAATCCCACCAGCCTGTGTGTGGGCCTGGATTAGACTGCCTACTGATCTTCCATTGAATATTACGTCTTGCTGTTGACTGCAAAACTAAATCAAACGATTATAGCAAGCATATAAATATTAGATTGTTTCAAACGGGATCAAACCTTTTATTATGCCTTTTTTTTTTCAAATTGCACCACAGCAAGCGCATCACACACATGTTCTCCTGCAGTCTGTGATAGCACTGAAATTAAATGTTTACTGAAGGTCTGAGCAGATCAGCGTTTCTTTCCCGGTCTTAATAAACATCCCGCAGAAGAACCGCAGCATATCCTTGATGAGTGCGAACAGTTGAAAAGGCCTCCTTGGCAAATATTAGCCTCACCTTTTGTTTACTAAAGAGGCTGGCCTGGTTAGGAGCTGGTATGCCACAACTGTAAAATGACCCAGTGATCTATATTTCCACAGTGTTTCAGTGTTTTAAAATGAGCTTTTACGTTTTCTGTTCTTTTTGAATGCATGCTGATTCTATTTGCATGGCATCACTTTGCAAACTTAATTATTTCCATGTTTGTTTTTGTTGTAGTTCATGCATCATTCCACTTTGTCTAACATGTTTGCGTACATGCACCTTACTCTCTGCCCGTGTGACACTCACAGCTGCGTTTTGCTCCTGCAGTCAGATTATCACTTTGAGTACACTGAGTGTGACGTACTCGAGTCAAGATGGAGAGTGGCAATTCCCAACAAAGCCGACACGTGCACAGGCCTCCCAGACCCAGTCAGAGGGACTCAGTGCAGTAAGTGTCCCCTTGTTTCATCTTATTACCTTCTGCTGTAGTTATCTCAATGAAAGGTTATGCTTTCAATCAAGCAATACCAGATGCACTCTAGAACAGGGGTCTGCAACCTTTATGATCAAAAGAGGCATTTCTGCCCTTTTACACACTAAATAAAATGTCTGGAGCTGCAAAACCTGCTAAAACTGTGAATATCAACTGGTGGCCCATGGCCCACTTCATAGCCTGTTGGAGGGGGCTTTTCCAGCCAGTAGGTGTGATATCATAAAACTAAAATATCAAATTATTAATAGTATTTATTGATATTTTTATATTTTAGGACAAAAGAAAAGACTGGATTTATGTAAAGAAGAAGATTTTTTTTTTTTTTACCAGTTTTCTAAAAATTCAAACACCAGTATGCAGGCTTGTGTGAGTTTTGTTTTTAATTGTGGAAACAATTAATAAAGTATCCTATTATGAAATAATAAAGCATAAAATTTTAAAAATTAAGCCAAATTGTTGGATATGTAATTTAATTTTTTAAATGAAAATAAATACTTCCATTTACTTTGACTTTGTTTTTTGTCTTTAATTTTTATTGTCATCAAGTTGACTCACCATATTTCTTCTCAGCACTAAAGGTTCCCCCCTCATCCTCAAAACATTTGGTGGATTTGATTTAAAGATCACACCGTAAGATAAAAGAAGTGGCTAACAAACTACTAGCATGATGTAGTCAAGTTTTACTCCTTAGTACTATCATTCTCATGTTGGCAAAAGAAATGACAGGAAAACTGCTAAAACTAGCCATTTCTTGTTGGTACAACAACCAATAAACCAGTTTTATGTTAGTTTGGGTTAAAACTCAGAGCCGCTGCAGAGGAACCAACGAGCCGCATGTGGCTCCAGAGCCGCAGGTTGCAGACCCCAGCTCTAGGGTAACCCTTCCTGAAGCTTTAATGGTTTTGGCTCTTGCTTTCTTCTCGTGTTTAGCCTTCTCCTGCGGTGAGGGCGAGTTCCTCAACATGCAGACGCAGCAGTGCCAGAACTGTGCAGCGGGCACCTACTCTTTGGGCACCAGCGTGGCCTTTGACGAGTGGGACAATCTGCCAACTGGTTTTGTCACTCATGGGAAGGTGACAAGAGAGGGCAAGGCCATTTCAGACTGCTCTAAGTTAGTGAAAAGTAAAACTTAGCTGTTTTCCCCTTTCAAGAGGCTCATTAAAGTGTTTTTACAATGTTTCTGCAGCTCCACCTGGACACCAAAAGGCGACTACGTAGCTTCAAACACAGACGAGTGCACCGCGACGCTGTCTTATGCTGTGAACCTGAAAAAAACTGGAGCTGCGGCATTTGAGTATTTCTACCCTGACAACAGCATCTACTTTGAATTCTTTGTACGTGCAGTTATTGTGTGGTTGTTGCAGGCAAACACTGGAGGATTAGTCAGTAAACGTATTTATTCTCCTTCTTGCAGGTTCAGAATGACCAGTGCCAGTCAACGGACTCTGAGAGCCGGTGGATGAGGATTTCAGAAAACAGCTGGAGCCAACACAAAGTTTGTCCTTCAGTGTTTCAGTACATGTCATTAAGGCCATTAACTGGAAAGGTTTGATGGAGAGCTCTGTCCTTTGGTTCACATTGCCTCTGTGCAGGTGCAGCTGAGAAAAGGCAACAATGTTCTGTACTGGAGAACCACAGCGTATGATCTGAGCAGTGCTGCCAAACCAGTGCTGCTAAGAAACGTTCAGGTCTCAGGTACAGTAAAGCCTGCTTTGTGTGTCGGTCTCAAAACATGAGACTCCCTGTGTCTGTAATTTGTTTGAATGTTGATTCATGTTATTTTCCCCTGTGTTTTTTTATTCTCTGTATAATTTCTGCAGACTAACCACTTCTGCAACATTAGTGCTGTTTTAGCCGTGCATATATAAAAACAGTCAGCTCAATCAGGAAATGGGTGCTATGGGTTGTAACACCCATTTCCTGGTTTTGTAACTTTCATAGAATTTTTAACTATTCAATTTTATTAATGTTTTTTCCTCCTAGACATGCATCGAGATCTCTTATTCCTTCAGAAACATTGTTCTCTTTGAAATCTGCTTTATCGAACTATTTTTTATACAGTTTTTAGGTTTTTGTTATTGTTCTGCTACTTTTAAGTAACCTTTTGCTAATTCTGCATTCTAGCTAAACTTTTTAGCCTTTTGATACTTTTATGTTTTAATTTGCATTTTGCTTCCTTTGACTTTAAGATAGTGTGTTGCAACTTTTAGCTTTCAGTTAGTCTATTGTTGCTTTTAGCTTTTAGCTAGCCTTTACTATGTTTACTGTTCAACAAAAATAATCATGTTTTGCTAACCTTTTCATATTTGTAGTTTTTATCTAGCCCAGGGGTCTGCAACCTTTACTATCAAAAGAAACATTTTTACGCCTTCGTTCTCTAAATTAAAAGTGATCAGAGCCGCAACAACTTGCTACAACTGTGGTTATCAACCGAAGGCTCGTGGGCCACTTTAGGTTTGTTGGAGGGGGCTTTGATGGCCGCTAGGCTAGCTAAAAATATCCGCTGGTAATGATTTTTAACATTTATTGATATTTTTACCATTTAAGATTAGTGAAAAAAAAACAACAACACATTTTTGTCAAGAAAGAGAGAAGGGGGTGGGGTAGTTTTTTTAATGAATAAAAACTACTGGTATGAACTATGCAGACCTATGTAATTTTTTTTATTGTATAAAAATTAATTAAGTATAGAAATAAAGCATAAAGCGAAGTGAGTATGTTTTACGCCTTGTACATGTTCCAGTATTCACATATTTGCAAACAAAACAACAGGAAAACAGCTAAAACTAGTCCTTTTTGCTGTTTGTATAACAACCAATAAAATTCAGTTTTGTTCAAAGCTTGAAAGAGCTGCTGCACAGGGACCAAAGAGCCCCATGTGGCCCCAGAGCTGCAGGTTGCAGACCCCTGATCTAGTCTTTTGCTACTTTTATCTTTTAGCTAACTTTGGATACTTTTAGCTTGGATACTTGTAGGTTTTTGCTAGGTTTTTGCTCCTTTTAGCTTTAAGCTAGTTTTAGGTCCAACTTCTCAGTTTCAGGATTTCAGCAACACCATTCAGCCCTCAGCATTCACACTGTATGTTTGAAGAAAAAACATTTTTCCAGTCATTAAATGCTGATTGGTGAGCTTCTTGCAGGGGTGTCCTACACATCTGAGTGTTTCCACTGTAAACCCGGCACCCACAGCACAAAGCCAGGATCTCCCCGCTGCACCCCCTGTCCTGCTGACACCTACTCCAACAAGGGTGCCACTGTTTGCCACGAGTGTGAAAAAGACAAATACGCTGGTATGCCCACCTGCATTTCCTTGCAAACCTTCAGTCACGTTTGAGCGTAGCAGCTGCACACATGTACAGGGCAGTCAGTGTGCAAAGCAGGACATTTAGTACCAAAGTGGTTATCACTAAATCTTAATGTGCTTTCCCTCACATCTGTTCTTGTTTTTCTGCGTCACCAGTACCCGGTTCAGGGATCTGCGAACCAAGGCCTGCATGTACACACAGTGACTACTTTTACACCCACACGCCCTGTGACTCTGAGGGAAAGGTATTTTAAAAAGAGCTGTTTAAAAGAAAAAACAACCAGTAAAAAGTTTTTTTTTGTTGTTGCACAGTCTTGCACTCAATATTTGTAACTATTAAGATTCTGATTGTAGATTACCTGACTGATTGGGTTGTAGAGTGACTAACTCGTGTGTTTCAGACTCAGCTCATGTACAAGTGGATCCAACCTAAGATCTGCAGTGAAACCATCGAAGGGGCAGTGAAGCTTCCAGCCTCAGGAGAGAAGCAGTCCTGCCCGCCCTGTAACCCCGGCTTCTTTGCTAACAGCACCTCAGCCTGTGAGCCCTGCAGTAACGATTCCTACTCAAATGGCACAGGTACAGAATCATTACTGTTCTTTTCCTCTGTCCATCTCAGTCTCTGATAAACTTTACTGTGAAACAAACATGACTTTTTTTTTTCTAAATTATGGGACTCTAAATATTAAATCATGTCAAAGTAGATAACTGTGGATGCTGAGAGATGAGTGAATTTGCTGAAATTAGATGAAAAATGAAACTGAATTAGTAAAACAAGCAGAACAGAAGCTAAAATCAGTAAAACAGTAGCTAAAACAAGCAAAAACTGCAGCTAAATCAACTAAACATTTGCTACATTTTAAAACTATTAAAACCATAGCTAAAATTGTAAATCAGCAAAACAATACTTAAAAACTAAAATTGGGAAAAATGTAGCGATCAACCATTAGCAAAGCATTAGTGTTGTTTAGCTTAGTGTAGATCCTTATATACTGTTTCTTTTCAGACTCTATATTTTTGCTATTTTTGAATGTAACTGGGACCCTGAGTACACAATTTCGTTCCATCTCATGTACCGCATGTGATGTGAATGACAATAAAGAAACTTGAACTTGAAAGTTAAAATATCCAAAAACATAGCTAAACGCCTAAATTAGCAAGACAATAGCTGAAAGCCTATATGAAAACAATAACAGGACAAATATGCTGAGGAAGATAAAACTACATTTTTAACATTTCTAAATCTTTTTCTTTGAGGATTATTTGTAAGTAGAGTAAAATTCAACAAGTCTAAAAGTTTAAAACACTAAAAGTTATAACACACAGAATTGCACAAAGTATACTGAAATACTTTGATTGAAATAAAAATATGGAAGAACCAAGGAACATGTAACCCGCTTGAACGCTAAGTCAACATTCACACAATCAATTTAAAGTTATAGTTTTGCACCAGAAGAACTCAAATTAAATGATCCATCCATCCATTTTCTTCCACTTATCCGGGGTCGGGTCGTGGGGGTAACAGCCTAAGTAGGGAGGCCCAGACTTCCCTCTCCCCAGCCACTTGGTCCAGCTCCTCCGGTGGAATCCCGAGGTGTTCCCAGGCCAGCCGAGAAACATAGTCCCTCCAGCGTGTCCTGGGTCTTCCTCTGGGCCTCCTCCTGGTGGGACGTGTCCGGAACACCTCACCAGGGAGGCGTCCAGGAGGCATCCTAAACAGATGCCCGAGCCACCTCAATTGGCTCCTCTCGACGTGGAGAAGCAGCGGCTCTACTCTGAGTCCTTCCCAGATGATCGAGCTTCTCACCCTATCTCTAAGTGAGAGCCCAGACGCCCTGCAGAGAAAACTCATTTTGGCCGCTTGCATCCGAGATCTTGTTCTTTCGGTCACAACCCAAAGCTCATGACCATAGATGAGGGTAGGAACGTACAAACCGGATTCCAAAAAAGTTGGGACACTAAACAAATTGTGAATAAAAACTGAATGCAATGATGTGGAGGTGCTAACATCTAATATTTTATTCAGAATAGAACACAAATCACAGATCAAAAGTTTAAACTGAGAGAATGTATCATTTTAAGGAAAAATCTGTTGTTTCCTAATTTCATGGCGTCAACAAATCCCAAAAAAGTTGGGACAAGTCCATTTTTACCACTGTGTGGCATCCCCCCTTCTTCTTACAACATTCAACAGACGTCTGGGGACAGAGGAGACCAGTTTCTCAAGTTTAGAAATAGGAATGCTCTCCCATTCATGTCTAATACAGGCCTCTGTTCAATCGTCTTGGGCCTTCTTTGTCGCACCTTCCTCTTTATGATGCGCCAAATGTTCTCTACAGGTGAAAGATCTGGACTGCAGTCTGGCCATTTCAGTACCCGGATCCTTCTCCTACGTAGCCATGATGTTGTGATTGCTGTAGAATGTGGTCTGGCATTATCGTGTTGAAAAATGCAGGGTCTTCCCTGAAAGAGATGACGTCTAGATGGGAGCATATGTTGTTCTAGAACCTGAACATAGTTCTCTGCATTAATGGTGCCTTTCCAGACATGCAAGCTGCCCATGCCACAAGCGCTCATGCAACCCCATACCGTCAGTGATGCAGGCTTCTGAACGGAGCTTTGATAACAACTTGGGCTATCCTTGTCCTCTCTGGTTCGGATGACATGGTGTCCCAGTGTTCCATAAAGAACTTCAAATCGTGACTCATCTGACCACAGAACAGCCTTCCATTTTACCACACTCCATTTTAAATGACCCCTGGCCCATTGCAAACGTCTGAGCTTGTGGAGCTTGCTTAGAAATGGCTTCCTCTTTGCACTGTAGAGTTTCAGCTGGCAACGGCGGATGGCACGGTGGATTGTGTTCACTGATGATGCTTTCTGGAAGTATTCCTGAGCCCATTCTGTTATTTCCTTGACAGTGGCATTCCTGTTTGAGGTGCAGTGACATTTAAGGGCCCGGAGATCACGAGCAGCCAGTAGAGTTTTACGGCCTTGACCCTTACGCACAGCGATTGTTCCAGATTCTCTGAATCTTTTGACGATGTTATGCACAGTTGATGATGATAACTTAAAAGTCTTTGCTATTTTACGCTGGGTAACACCATTCTGGTATTGCTGCACTATCTTTCTGCGCAACAATGGTGGAATTGGTGATCCTCTTACCATCTTGGCTTCTGAGAGACACTGACACTCTGAGAAATTATTTTTATACCCAATCATGTTGTCAATTGACCTAATTAGTGTTAATTGGTCTTCCAGCTGTTTGTTATATGCTCAATTTCCTTTTTCCAGCCACTTATTGCTACTTGTCCCAACTTTTTGGGGATTTGTTGACACTGTGAAATTTTGAATCAACATATTTTTCCTTTAAAATGTTACATTTACTCAGATTAAACTTTTGATCTGTCATCTATGTTATATTATGAATAAAATATTGACATTTGCTATCTCCACATCATTGCATTCAGTTTTTATTCACAATTTGTTTAGTGTCCCAACTTTTTTGGAATCCGGTTTGTAGATTGATCGGTAAATTGAGAGCTTCGCCTATTGTCTCAGCTCTCTCTTCACCACGACAGACCGGTACAGCGCCCGCTTCATTGCAGACGCTGCACCTATCCGCCTATCAATCTCTCTTTCCATTTTTCCCTCATTCGTGAACAAGACCTCAAGATACTTGAACTCCTTCACTTGGGGCAGGACCTCCTCCCTGACCCGGAGAGGGCACTCTACCCTTTTCCGGCTCAAGACCACGGCCTCGGATTTGGAGGAACTGATCTGCAATTCAGATCAATTAAATGATATGAAAGAAAAATACATTGTTGTAATATATAAAAATCATCTCTAAGTCATTTAAACTGCAAGCCTACAAAAGCTATTGGACACAATTGTGTGCATTTTTAAACAAAGGAAGATTTTTATTTTTTAAACGAGCACATACATTTATATCCTGGTCATCATATTGTGCACAGGTCTTGTGAAGGAAATGGAGATAGTTTGGTTCCGTGTAAACCTTGTTTTAGACTGGATTTAAACAAAAGGAAACATTTAAAATGAGTGAAATATTTACATTTGATGGAGTCTTGAAATTATACAATTCTTGCAATTTTCTTCTGTGTTTGCTTGCATGAATATTGTCACATAATAAAACCAACAGTTTCTAGTAACATGTCCTAACAATGTCTGCATGTTGTAACATAACATTTGTTTGCACAGTATTGTCTGACAGTGTGATATTGTTTACTCGTAGTTTGTGCTACGTGCCCTGTTGGCACCGAACCGATGCTGGGCTTTGAGTACAAATGGTGGAACACGATGCCGTCCAACATGAAGAGCTTCATTATCCGTCACGAGTTCAGCAACTACAACCGACGCACAGGTGAGACACCACCTGGTGGGATGGAACAGGCAGCAGAGTTCAGTTTATTGGCTTTTCTCCAAACAGAAACACAGTAGAGCCACAAAACACATTTCAACATGCAAAAATATGTTTGAAAGGATTAGGTGTCTCTTGTTTTTATCATTATTATTATTGTAATGACAGCATGGGAGGTGGCTGGAGAGTATGTCTACACCCCCCCAGGGGATCTGGATACTGACTACCAGACGCTCACGTTCACTGTTCCTGGATACAGGTGAAGATTTTCCTGAACACACTTAAACATAAGTTTTTGTTCATTATCTGCCCAGAAGTAACGGATGTATATTTGAGATGAAAGTTGAATAAAATGTCTTTTGGTTGTTTAAGGGCTGAGACCACGGTCAAAGATACAGAAGTGAGGGAACTCTCCCGCATCACCTTTATCTTTGAGACTGTGTGTTCAGCTGACTGCAAGTTTTATTTCAAGGCGGTAAGAGAAAATGTTTTTTTTTTTTTACTTTATGGTCATAAATAAGATGTGTATGTTGCAGAGCTTCATCGTGAGCTTGATTTGGTATAGATTACTGAGGTGAGAGGTTTTTTGTTCAGGGTTATAATAGCTGGTTTGGCGATGTGGTGGAGGAGTGGAAGGCTACCAACAGGAAGCAGTCGTACTCGTACCTGATCCAAAACAACTACACAGTCAGCTTCAGCTGGCTGTTTCAACGGACTGAGAAATACAACATGGTGAGGAACGTCATACATTCACCATCACAGATGATTTGTTACTTTAAAACCATCTCAGTCAGATTTACTTGTCTTCTCCTGTAACTTAGGCCACAACTTGTTGTCAGTGGTACATGATGTGGTTTACATTGTTTTTCTTCATCATTCTAAGAATTATTTTCATGTTCAGTGCTTTTTTTTTTTTTTTTTGTGGCGTACATCATCAGTTTAATTTTACACACAAACTAAATTATACATTTTTTGGAGTGGGTAGATATGAAAAAAACATTCTATTTTGGAACTTTTTCTTCTTTTTTAATCGTACAACATCTGCAGCCAGTTTCTTCGGGTCCGCTGTGGGACGGACCTTTACAAGAGATCCTTCCTGCCTACAGCCATCAGTATCTATAAAATCTCTTAATGAAACAAGGATAATGAGTTACAACATTTACTTTCCCTTTGGGATTAATAAAGTATTTTTGAATTGAATTTGAATATAAAACAATATTAGAGTAAACTTTGATTCATAGTTTATGCAAAAAAGTCTCATTGTTTTGTGCATATGTAATGAATTTCATAGAAGATATTGCAATGAAGTTAAAAATTATGTGTAGAGAGATGAAAATGGTTTTCAAAGAAGGCAAAAAATTATAGCCATTAAATAATTTTTAGAGATGCACGATATTGGATTTTTGGTCGATATCCGATATGCCAATATGTTAACTTATTTGGCTGATAACCGATAGCAATACCAATATTTTTTTTCCTAGACCTACTTACAGAGACTACATATCTTTCTCTGCTGTGTAATTAAAATACTACATTATTCTGCATGGTCTTTGTCAATTTGGCCTGCTACCAAATACAGATGCCAAAAAGGGGGCTGAAAACGATGTAACGCTTCAACTTGGATTATGTTTAATGTCAAATTTATATGTTAAATTTTATGCCTTTCATATGTGTATGTATATATATATGTATATATATATGTATGTATGTATGTATGTGTGTGTATGTATATGTGTGTTTGTATGTATGTGTGTGTGTATGTATGTAAATGTGTGTATGTATGTATGTATGTGTGTGTGTGGTGTATGTGTGTGTGTGTGTGGTGTGTGTGTATAAACAGCACCTTTTATATCGGTGAGTTATTTTGACGGAATGGCCGATGTCCGATATTTAACTTTATCTCTAATATCAGCCAATACCGATACCATGCTGATAATATCATGCATCCCTAATAATTATAATTACTACATAAAGCGATACTGTAATTATAATGTTTATGCCTACAAAACTGGTTTATAAGAACAACTCTGGACACAAAATAGTTTATAAAAGTCCACGAAGACAAAACATACTTATCGCTGTCATCTATTTTTATCTAATCGAAATAACTTTAAACTGTTATTAAAACAACTGTTTTGCTGGTGTTTCTCTAGTACAACTGTGGTTTTGAATCTCTGAATAAACTCTGCACTCTAGATGGCAATCTTGAGCTGTGTGGACACTGAGCACTCTTGTTTCCTGTCCTCCATCAGACGAGGAGATACAGCGCTGATGCTGCAAAGATCTACTCCATCCACATCACTAATGTGGTTGGAGGTGTGGCCTCGCAGTGCCGCCGCTGCGCCCTGATGTCCACTAAGGCTGACTCCACCTGCGTTCCCTGCCCTCCAGGACACTACATGGTCGAAGCCACAGGAGTGTGTAAAAGTTGCCCTCCAAACACCTACGTCCGGGCCAGTCAGCCAGTTGGAAAGTCTGCTTGCATCCAGTGTGGCCCCAACACAAAAAGAAACAAAGTAAGAAGCTGAATTTCACAGAAAACAAAAAAACTCTCATTGAAATAATCGGGTTTGACGCACTCTGTTATTTAGGTTTCACCTTTGTTGTTTTTGCCAGTTTGTGGTTTGGAAACCTTTTGATAAGATACACTTAGAATGTTGCAAACAAACATATACAGCATTTAAGAACACAACATACATTTCTTAGTATATGGAGAAGCAATTTTTAAATTATGAGTTTTATCTTATATTAAATGATTGTTCTGGTAGCTCGGTGGTCAGTGCTGCTGTCTCATAACCTGCAGATTCGAGCCCAGGTTCATTATCCCCAAGGGGCAAATTGTTTCACAGTCAGTAGTCACACAAAACATCCATACTAGACAAGACATTAAAATAACAATACTTGAAATCATCATTGTTCGTTGAAAAGCCTGATCACTACAGGGATGAATGAGTTTTTTTAGTCTGTTCGTCCGACATCTGGGCAGCAGATACCTGCGTCCAGATGGAAGCAACTTGAACTCACCATGGAGAGGATGATCAGGATCTGCCAGAATCAGCCTGGCCTCATTCACTGACCTCGCCTTGTGTAGGTCAGTGAGGTCCGACGTACAACAACTACCAAATCTTTTGCGTGAGTTTGTGCACTGTGGCACCCGCTGCAGAAGAGAGCAGCTGATAGAAAAACATCGTCTATCATGTCACCATTCATACTCTGAACAAACAAAGTCCTACCATCCTAAAAAGGCGAACTGTTTTAAAGACGCTCTCTTTGTAAAGACTTCTCACCGTGAGACAGCAGGCTTACTTCCATCGCAGGAGAGAGAAACTGACGAGCATGTAAATGATGAAACTCTGACCTTTGACCTGCAGGCCTTCACAACTTGTCTCAGTGACTGTAAAGTGGACGTTCAGACGAAGGGAGGGGTCCTGCTCAGCTACGATTTCTCTCCCCTGTCCAATGTCACCGGCTTTCGCAGCAGCCCTCGCTTCACCAACAAAGGCCTGCGGTATTTTCATCACTTTAATTTGGGTCTGTGTGGGACGGAGGTGAGAAAGGGATCTTGAAGGTGTTGCTTTGTTTGTAAAATTATGTTTCATGTGCGAATCCCCTCACCGTGTCCCCCTTACAGAGACACATGCCAGCCTCCTGTGTGGACAATGTGACGGAGAACGGAAAAGTGGTCAAAGGTTACATCTGTCAGTCTGTGGTGGTACCTTCTGACATCAGGAGTCAGAGCATGGTGTCCTCCCAGCCTTTTGTCATCGGGGACTCACTCATAGGTAAACCTAATCTGCAGCTATACACTGATGGAAGAAACAGACACTCGTTCAATATTTGTCCTTCTATTAAAAAATGACCACATCTGGACAAGATGAAGATTCTGTAGCCTGGATTAAAACGTTTTAATTCGAGGCACTACATTTCCTTAAGTTTCAATATTACATTTTTTTGTCTGCATGCGAAAAAAACGTATTTATTGTTTTTGAGTCAGCATCACTGCGTTTGAGTAATGGGTCAGTAGGTGGCGATAAGATGCTGAAGGAAACAGGAAGCCACCAAATATCTCACCTGATATTTGACATTTTTGTGTCAGTGTTATCTCCAGTCTCTTAGTCATTCTGTTAATAATATTGTATTTTCTTAAACAGAGATGTCTCAAAACAAGAAAACATATTCTTCTTTCTTCAATGCTTCGGTCTTTGGCGCCATATTTATGAAAGGGTTTGAGTTAAAAATGTTGCAGGCTCAAAAACCTGCTAGCATCAAAGGGTTAAACTTCAGTTTTGACCTTATGTTTCTGTAGATGTCTGTAAAAAACTATAAACATTTAGAAAAGGTGTCGGGATTATGTTTGGATGAACTAAAATTTCTATAGATAATATAATTCCACAGCAAAGCACCCAAGCAGCATAACTTTGTTATTAAAACAGATTGTTGTATTAACGTTGTGTGTCTTTTTCTCTAAAGGTGTGACCACTGACACAACTCTGGAAGGTGTAACATCTCCATCATGGCTGTTCCCTCCAGCTTCCCCTCAGCTGCCAGATGTCATATTCTATTACAGGTAAATAAGACAGCTGTTATTCATTTACGTTATTGAGTCTTTAAGATTTCTACATGTTTCTAAAACACACATTTACAGCTTAATGTTTGATACAGGTTCAATCATTAATTCAATGTCTTGAGAATTAAAAAACAAACATTGAGAAGACTTTTCACTGTGACATAAAATGTAATGTTTTTAATGCTGTAATGTGTTTTAGGTCAAACGATGCAACTCAAGCTTGTAAACGAGGCAGGTCGGCCACCATCAGATTAAGATGCAACCCCACAGTCACGGCTAAAGATTACATCACACATCCAAGGTACTGCACTCAGTAACTCAACTCCCAGCTGTTGATCTTTTATTTATATGCGATGATTGTGTGAAACAGCCACGTTGTTTACCAACATATGTCACGTTAAGCTCACAGAAGCTGAGCTACAGTAAAACGGGGCTCAGTGGAGATTAACTTTCAGCGTGCGATCATCTCTCTGACCTTGTTTTTCTTGACAGCAACTGTTCTGAGGGGACATGCGATGGCTGTAGTTTCCATTTCCTGTGGCAGAGCCAGCATGCATGTCCACTCTGCACCAAAGATCACTACAGAGAGATCGTCAGTGCTTGCATCCAGGGAATACAGGTAGTGCTGCTGACAAATACTCTTTTACCCCCTGAGCTCCACAAATCTATCACGTTTAACTCGTGTTAAATAAAATGAAAGCACACAATGAAAAAAAAAAGCATTCTTATTCTGTGCAGCAGTTTAGCCACAAGGAATATGTTTTATCTACATGGAGTGTGATATGAAACCCATGTGGGCCTTATTATTTGTGCCATCAGAGAACCACCTATGTGTGGCAGCAGCCTCTCCAGTGTTACGGAGGAGAATCACTACCAGCACAAACAGTCAGCGCATGCGTGACTCTGGATTTTTGGCTCAAGTTTGGCGTCTCCATCGGCGCATTTGCTGCCCTGCTGCTCATCAGTATCAGCTGTTACTTTTGGAAAAGGACACGCAAGTGAGACTAAGAAGCTTTACGTTTCCGTCAATGTTTATCAAAGCACTGTTGGGTTCAGGGATCTCAGCTGATACGGTTCATGACCAAGTCTTGTCATCCCTTTGTTAGACTGGAGTATAAGTACTCCAGATTGATGATGAGCTCTGGAGGTAAAGAGTGTGAGCTACCCACGGCAGACAGCTGTGCAATAATGGAGGGAGAGGATGCAGAGGACGACCTCATGGATCTCACCCATAAGTCCTTCTTCAAGAAAATTAAGTCTTTCTCACGAGAGGTTAGTCGCCCTTTCATTCAGCGTCTCGTTGAACTGCTTCACTTCATAACATTATGATTGTGTTTGCAGAGAACATCAGATGGATTTGACTCGGTTCCCCTCAAGTCATCTTCACGCCACCAACACGAGGAGGAAGACTGCTGATGCTCCAACCAGATAATCACCCAATCACTGAGTGGAGAGGAAGTCTTTAGTTTTATAGTTTTAAATGTCTGCTCAGGTCTGGCAATCTTTCAGGAGTCTGAATATAGAGATAGAGCAGACTTCATTTTTTATGGTAGCCTTACTGAGGCAGTTCAAACAAACACTGGACATTTCATTTGTAGTATTATTTGTCCCATACCAGACTGCCCAATTTGCTACTGTACTGCAAAGTGTCCTCATGGGGGATTTGCTGTGGGGAAGGGATGGGTGGGATTGAAAATAATCCAAGTATGAACTGAGTTACATTTTTTTATGTATAAAACTGTGTGCATTTTCATAACAAAAATCATGATCCCCCCCCCCCCCCCTCCCTATTTTATTTATTTTGTTTTAGCAAGCGCCTCTGCTTGTTAAGCCAGCATTAGAATTCAGGCTCATAACATGCTTTAACATTATGTGAATTACATTTGTCTTGTTGTGTTTTTTTTTTGTTTTTTTTTGCTGAGCCTTACATGAATTTAAGAGTATTCTTTATTGTGAGTTAAAAACCTTTTCAATAAAAAAGAATTCATGACAAAATGTACAACATAATGCTGCTTTCAGTGACTCTTGGTAAGATCTTTCATTTAATATTTAAAATTCCAAATAATGTCATATTTACTAATTTTAATAATTTTGTTATACAGTTTACACATTTAAATATTGTAAAACCGTTTATGTTGCTATAATATTTTGTGATTTTCCTAATTATGATAAGTATTTTTTGTAGATGCCACTTGTTTTCGATTTCATAATATTGTATAAATACCATTTTATCCGGTTGTATTTGAATGCAGCATTGTTTTCTTTTCTCGTCACTCAGCGACTTGTTCTCGCGAGACTTCACCGAGCGTCTGCGAACTTTCAGGACCCGAGGAGGAACAAGTAACGTGAGGAGTCGAAAGTTAGGCACACAGCTGGCGGTGATTCTGCAACTTTTTTCCTTTCCGAGGAAGCAGCCCGAAGAAGAAAGCATTGCGTGAAGTTCTCCAGCGAACGTCACACCTTTAGCGTTGTTCCTCTTTGTTCGGGAGGAGCAGAACAGTGCTCTGGGCGGATAGTATTGTTGGTGGTCGACGGTTGGTTCTGCAAGAAAAATGTCGCAGAAAGAAAGACCAAAGTTTTACCGACAGGAGGTCAACAAGACGATATGGGAAGTTCCGGAGCGGTACCAAAAGTTGTCCCCGGTGGGCTCTGGCGCATACGGAACCGTTTGGTAAATAAAAAACTTAAAGTAAAGTTTTGTGTACGTGTTGTCTCCTAACTACCTCCATTCATTGAGGCGAGGCCTGGTGCTGCAGAGAAGCTAAACTTAGGTTAGCTCGACGGTTGAGGGCAGTCGTGTTACCCAACCGTTCAAAGTGTCTGATTTCTGACTGTTTTTGATTTAGCCTGGAAGCGTCTTGTATTTACTGGAAGTATCCTAAACTTAAGTGAGTCTTAAGCAGTAAAAAGTACGGTAGTTTTCTGCTTCATTCAAGCCTTTTTGCGCACTTTAAAATGGATAAATTTAAGACTGCTGGTTACTTAAGGACCTCCACAGTGAGTGGACTCTAATTACTCAGCAAATGTGCAGCACACATTCCTTTAAGTGAGAGAGAAAAGGACTCTGCTCCTGATTTATCTCCCTTTGTTAACAAGGCTTTGAGTGAAAGGGTAGATTTTTTTTTTTTTTTTTTCCTGAAAGAAGGAAAAAAAACCTGCTTTGTCTTTTTTTGGACTAAATACTTTGTGCTGATAAGATCTAGACAAAACATCTCTGGAAGACAAGGTAGCAGATGTTTGTTTTGCAAATGGAAGCAAACAGATGTGCTGTGACCAGACAGCAGGATAATCTGTTTATGGTCAGATTAGTCATTTATATTGATTTTTTTTTCCTCTCTAAAAGCAAATTAAAAATTTGCATATTGTTGCCTAAAAGTTGCCTGTAAAAGTTACATCATACATGATGTTTTGAAATCCATTGATTCTGAATAGATATTTTATATAATCATTCTGGTAAATTGCCATCAGAAAGCATGACATTTAGTGTTTTATACATTTAAATGTAGACAGAAGCAGTCACGTATTATTGCTTATCTGATTACCAATTCTTATAACTAATTGACACTGTTAAGTTTTAGTCATAAGATGCCATATCAAAGCAGTTCGTAAACCCACACCATCTTTTTCCAGAAGTCTTGTTTTAATAGTTTGATGTGCTTGGCTGAACATTACTCAAGTGGCACCTTTTGAAGCAAATATGCATTTCATATTTCTGTACAAAAAGGACTCGGGCAGAAAGTAAGATGACAAAAGTGCTTGTAAAAGGAATTTCCGAGAAGGAAAGAAGATTTTAAATTTATAACTGATTGAAATAATCTGGAAGTTTCTAAAGCAGCATTCACTTTGAGCTGATTGAGTTTTCTAGATGCTATGAAGAGGTGCATATGCTAGTGTCTAACTTCTAGCCAGAGAAGATAAAATCACCCTATGATTTACTACAGCAGAAACATAAAAAAACACTTATCAGTCCATTTATATCTGACTTGTATGTTAATTTATCCTGGTTTGTCATTGGTTCACTTTTATATGATGCAATGAACAATTAGCAAATATTTTTTCTCATGGAGGCGAGTTTATAAATGTGAACAACTTCGTAATAAATGTACACAAACAAGTTTGCAGATGTGTGTCACCAGCAGCATTCCTCATGTATCTCATGAAATGCTGATACCTTCTCAAAGACTGAATCCTAATGAATTTTGCTTAGCCACTTCTTTGTGATGACAATGTCTGCTGAGTTTAAAGGAAAATGTTCAGAAATAATTTAGGACTGTAAACATGGAGATGTTTGTTGATCCCAGTATATATTGGTTTCTGATCCCAGTAAGTTGTCCATCAGCTGTGACAGGTGAGCTGCTGAGCAGGAAGTGTTTTCTGTTCAGACTGTCAGCCCTCAGAGGCCAGAGGCTGCTCCCACTCTGCTGAGAGACGACTTTTTCTGCTGATATGGCCCTGGTCACTGCATTTAGTTTGGCTTGCCATGTCTGGTTTTGTTTTGAGAGCAGACTCAGCCTTTTCTAAGCAAATAAAATGCTTAAATTTAATCAGCACAAGGGACACAAGCCTGCTAAACCCCCCAAAAACAAAACACTTTTTTTCCAAAGTCGTTCACCACTTGTAGGTTTTGATGTTTGTCAAGTACAAACTGGATCACAGCATGTTTGCATATTATCAGCGAGTCATGTTTATTCTTTTTACAGTTCTGCATATGACAACATGATGGGTTGTCAGGTGGCTGTAAAGAAGCTCTCTCGTCCATTTCAGTCCTTCATCCATGCCAAAAGAACATATCGAGAGCTGCGGTTGCTTAAACACATGAAGCATGAAAATGTGAGTGAGCTCACTTCTCTTCTTTTTGTTTTTCCTGAATGTAAACAAGCTTAAAAAACAAATATTTATTCAGTCCTATTCTTTGCTTTTAAATCTTCACATTTCAGTTTTTTGTGACTGTGTTTTCTGTGTTTTTGCAGGTCATTGGCCTCTTAGATGTTTTCACCCCTGCTACTTCTCTGAAGGAATTCAAAGACGTGTGAGTTGAGTTGAGTTTGAAAATAATCACTTTAATTTATTTTGCTTCAATACAGCTACAGTACACCATCACTTGAAAACAGTAATAGTAAGGTAGCGTCTAGTTTATCAGCAGCAGATGGTTCAAACTGGACTGGAAAACACCTGGAACTGGGCCAGCAGTTCTAACACACTGGTACATTTTTAAAGAGTCCACTCTTATTCATTTACTGTGACAGCTAATAGAGTTGTTTTATCACCAGCTTCCTTCCTTGTTTCTTAAATTCTGTCTTTGTGAAACATATCGTCGCTCCTGCAGTTGATAATTGTTGATGTTGAAAATTGTTAAAAGAGGATGTGAGCAGTTGATGGCAACTTAATCCTCGGATGTAATATCCTCCCGTGCGAACTGAAATGTAAGACTTTTCTTTTCTGTGCATCAGCATCAGTTTGTCATTTTTCACAGGACACTTGACGAATATGTTTTAAGCCACTCGCAGTTAAAATAGACTAATTCTAGCTCTTCTGGATCATAATGTGTGACACTGTACTGATTTTTTCTGGTAAACACTGTCAAAGCAACTTTTGCAAGTGCAATTCAGCTATAACTTCTTGTTCTAGAGCTTGATTTCTCTTGTGTACTTTTTTGAGTTTGTAGGCAGTTTGTGAGCGTTTTTAATTTCCCAAGGAGTGTTTCTGAACCGACAGTACTTCACATCCTGACATGCTTGTCTCTTGGATCATTTTAATTAGGTTATGGAAGAATAAACAGTAATGTAAATTCATCAAAGTTGGCATTTTCTGTGTAGATTATTAAGTTAGAGACGATAAATAAGAAGACAAGCCCTCTTGTGAGGTTACTGGTTGTGACCAAAACAAATATTTTGGGACAGTCGGCAGCATCCATCACTGGCAGCTACAGAAACATTTTAAGTGTGATGCACCCATTTGCTGACCGTCTCTGTGTGGTCACGCATCATTTGTCTTGTTTGGCTTAAGTACACTAATATAGGGGCCTTTTTAAAGCCCTCTGGTGATTCAGTTTATGCAAGTTTATAATTATAATTTACATCATACATCTTGCATGAAAGAAGCAAGTTAGTCTAGTTATAAATTTGTCTAGTTTTATGATTATTTCTCACACATTGTTTTGATACATAAAAACTGTGAAAAAGCATATTTGTATTCACTGAGGTCTGACCAGGGTCCATGCATAAGTGTAGGTTCCAGATATGGTTGCATGGTGGTCTGGAGTGGTTCATTGACACTGATGGGCTTGCATGCAGACCTCCAAAAAGAAATCTAACATCGTAGAGCCATCAAACGTGATGCTGCTCAAATATTGAATACTGAGCTGTAGTGAGTATAGGCCAAGTGGAGCCATTAACAGAGGACAAAATGTGAAAAAAAATAAAATAAATTAGTCATCATCGGTGAACTAACTTGTTTTATCTCTTGGTTCCACTCCAGTTATTCAGCAGAAATCTGACTTCCACATCAAAGCAAAGCTTCAGAACGAACAAAACCTGTAACACACTAATAGCCCATATATCTGATTGTTCCACAAATTTCTGATATTGCTAAAAAATGTTGATTAGGGAAAGCAAAATCATGTTCAAGTCTTGGTGTGTTTGCAGCACTCCTGTATAACATAATCAAATGAGCCAAAATAATACTTTAAAGCCAACTTTGACAAAAGTCCCTGCCGGTAAGAGCTGGAACTGCTGTTCAGAATATTGTGTTGAAGGTTTTCTCTTGTCATTCTCACTCGTATCTTGGAAAATATTCATGTTTAAAAAGTCATTTAGGCAAAGAGAATAACATTTAAATTCTTACTGGGTGCTTGAAACACTGCTTCGTGCACATTTTAAATATTAAAAAACAAAAGCTTGCCTCCTTCATCCACTTTAATTTGTCTGTTTATGTTTAAGATTTTTCTTGTGCAGCAGTGTTGTAGTCTGGTTATTTTTGCAGAGTTGTTGGCTCGCCTCACCTTCCACTAAGATTAGCTTGCCTGACTGAAGGTAAATACAAGGTCACACTTGTGGTCTCTTATGGGAAGTAAAAGAGAGGGAGTAAGACTGAATAAACAAATTAGCGGGATTTGCACAGTTCTACAAAAACCACTTTAAATATTAGGTGCTTGAATTCTTTTCCTCCTCTATGCTGCTGCCATGAACCTGTTTCTACAGGAGAGTGGAAAACAGAGGTCACTATTTATTTTCCTTTTTTTCCCAAGGCGGCTGAACTTTTCGGCGTCAGTCGTTGTGTGCGCTGCTGAGACCAAGTTGAAGCATGGACAAGTTCTATTTTAAGCCCTTGTTCTCTGCACTCTGTGAGAATAGAGTATATTCATGAATTGGATATTTGTTGAGCAACAGATCGACGAAGCAGCACATGGCTGTGTGAGTTTTGGCTCTGATATCGCCTCTCCGGCATCCTGCTCCTGCTGCCTTCTGGAAGTGCTGTTTGGGCATTTTAAACAGCTCTGGGATTAGAGTTGATTTATTCACTGATGCAGTAACATTAAGCTTGTTTATCTGGTGTGTTTGTTAAATGACATTCCATTTGTGAAGGGTTTGACCTTTTTAGTGCCTCCAGAGGGACGCCAAAATAAAAGTGGCTGCAAAACCAGTTTAAGCATTCACAGCCATAAGGGAAATAAGCTGCAGGCTGCAAACAACCTCGGGAAAAATTATTTTAAAGAGCAAATATGTTTATTTTAAACCCACCTGACTTCATGAATTGTGGAATTATTGCCTTTTCCTGTGATTTTTGCCTGTTTAAACTCTGATGGCAGTGTTTTATGGTTGGTAGATATCTTGTGACTCACCTAATGGGAGCAGATCTCAACAACATTGTGAAATGTCAGAAACTTACAGACGACCACGTGCAGTTCCTCATATATCAAATCCTCAGAGGATTAAAGGTAAGGTTATTTTGTGAGCACATTTTATAACAAATGCACTTCATAATATTTTTGTATACAGCTGCATGCAAAGATTATCATTGTCATATATCGTTAATGAAGAAAAAAATAGAATACTGAAGTCTCTTCCGTCTTGCTGAAAAAAAAAAAACCTGGCAAAGTTCACTATGCTTAGTCATGTCATAAATATTTTATTTCTTACATTTCTCTAAAAGACAATAACCGTTTCCTTGTGGGCAAGGCCCAAGTCAGCATGGAAATGTAAATTTAAAAACAAAAGAGAAGAAGTTAAGCTAGCTAATATTAATATATTAATATTTCATGTATTATATATTAATTATTATATGTTAAAAGGCCCTACTTTCTACTTTTTTGGGGGGATACCAGAGGTTTAGGATTTGTTTTTGTTTTTTTGGTTTGTTTTACAGAATTTGGAATATAAGCGTATTAATTGAGCTATTTATATTTTTTATGTTCAACATTTTTTAAAAAAACTTTCAGGCACACAACCTGACAGCTTACTAATAAACTTACAGTGTTTCTGGTACCTTCTGTGTTTGCAGCAGGACCAACCAGTCCCTCAGGTTCTAACGTTTTATGCTCGCAGTACTTTTGTAACCTCTATGAACATCTTTGTAGCCGAGAGTTCAGTTTCACTTCTTTGTTTTATGTGCAAATTCCAATGTGCGTCTTCTTTCACTGTTTACTGACCGGCTTTATGTTGTGTGAAGTTTCAGATGATGTTTACTAAAGCTGCTGCTTCTGTTCCTCCTCCCCCCTTCACAGTGAAACGATAGGATGACTCTTCTGTGGGTCAATAAGTTAGGACATTATGATTCTAAAAAAAGTTTATTTTAGTGTTGTATAAAACTTGATGGGAAAATAACGTTTTTGCTGCAACAACAATATGGACTTGATACAAATAAAACTGGATTTTCTAAAAGAACAAAATAATTGCACTAAAATAGGACATACGGTTAAAAATTTAACGATGTAACTTCTCAAAATGTTGTAAATACGTAGGGTATTTACTCGTCTACATGGCTATCTGATGTTCTTACAGTTCTTAAGCAGTCTTAGTTTTAGACAGAGCCTTTTTTACCAGCTGTGAACCACCATGAAAATATTATCAGATTTTTAAAATTAGTTTAAAAAACAAAATTGAAAGTCCTTTACATCTGTCCTAATATTCAAGTGATATAAATTAGGTTTGACATATGTCAGAGTCAGAGTTTCTTTATTGTCATTCGCACCTCGTGGTACATGTGGTGGAGCGAAATTATGTACACAGGGTCCCAGTTACATCCAACAATAAAATGTATAAGAAAAACAGTAATAACATCTAAGATATGAACTAAGAAAAACATCAACTAAATATACCCTAAGCACTCATAACATAAAACATTGAACATCAGCACAAACATGAACATGAGTCTGTGAGCAGATGTGCACGCATGAACACATCAACATTGAAACAGATCAGCAGCAACATGAAACAGATCAGCAGCAACATGAAACAGATCAGCAGCAACATATGGTTTTTCACAGTGATTATTCTAGTTAGAGATTCATGAGTCTAACAGCCTCAGGGTAGAAGCTGTTCCTCAGTCTAGTGGTTCTACACTTAATGTACACTTACACAATGTACACTTAATATGACTTTTGTTGTGAATTAATCCAAACTGATGGAAAATCTTGTATTTTCTTTATTTTTTTGCAGTACATCCACTCAGCAGAAATCATTCATCGAGTAAGTGTTTGAAAATTATTTGACAAATGTTATTTTGTTTTTGATCCTCATCCAGGGGAAGTTTGCATCATGATTATTGAGCTTTCTATTTGACTGACTCAGACTTGTACAAATATTAAGCTGCAAGTAAGATTAGATAGAACTTTATTGATTACGCAGGAAAGTGATTTACACTGCACAAAATGTTAATGAATTATTTTTAGTTTAGGCTAAAGAAAATATTTGTTTCCATTCGTGTGATTTTAAGAATAAATGGAAATGCTTACTGCCTCACCAGCTGCTGTATGTCTCACCCAATTCTTTCCTGCTGGCAGGATTTGAAACCGAGCAACCTGGCAGTGAATGAAGACTGTGAACTGAAGGTCGGTGAACTGATGAAGTTTAAAGCCCAATTTTCATCCCAAATCATTTTTCAGTTTTTAATGTTTTCATAACAATGCTGCTTTTTAAAACAAACCCCATCCAGATTTTGGACTTTGGCTTGGCACGACACACCGATGACGAGATGACGGGCTATGTGGCCACTCGCTGGTATCGTGCCCCAGAAATCATGTTGAACTGGATGCATTACAACATGACAGGTAGGTGGCATAAGTCATTGTTTATTAGGAGAAAACTTTGAAAAGTTTCATGTTTGTGTTCTGCTTCTTTGCTTCAGTGGATATCTGGTCAGTGGGCTGTATCATGGCAGAACTTCTAACTGGAAGACCTCTGTTTCCTGGCACAGACCGTATCCTTTCCATTGAGAGTTCAGAATCTGCACAGACTGAAAAGCTTGTGAGGTTTCTTGCACAAACTGGACTACAAATGGAGCAGATGGAGCAGATATTCACATTGTTGGAGAGGTGCTGGTGTGTGATGTTTCTGCCAGCACAAAGGCATCTTCATTTGAAATGAAACAGTGATGGGACATGTTTCTAATCTTTTCCAGACTGACTCATAACCTTTACAATAACATTTCCACTTCTATCCTGTCTGATATCACTGGTTCAGGTCCATTTTCTCTTTGCACTTCTGTGTTTTTTTTTTTTTAATGAGGCTGTGCCCCTCTATGTCTGAACTTAGCCGTTTCTTTTTTCCTCTTGGCAGTGTTTTTAGGTTAATGTCTGAACTTGTTTCTCATCTGCTTTTCTTGTGAAAGTCACTAAATTCTTTTTTTCTTCTTCTCTGCAGGCTATATTTCAAATTCTTTGTCCTCCCTGAGTGGTGTGTAAACTTAATGTAGCTGAATGTCAAACATGTTAGTTTTTTTTTTAAACTGATGCAGGTTTAAAAATGAGGTTAGTTTAAATTTTCCGTTATCCGACATCTGGTCTTCCTTTACCGGCTGCTGGTAGACATTGATCAGTTGAAGTTAATCATGAGGCTCATCGGAATTCCAGGGCCAGAGCTTGTGGCGAAAATCTCTTCAGAGTCTGTGAGTTCACAAATCCATGCAAGGTTTTTCCCTTCTGCTCCAAACTTTCCACTTTGCTGTGCATCGACTTGGCGGGTCTGTGTTCTGAATGCTGGCACGTTTTCCCACATTTCAGCCCTGTGGGTTTAAGACTTGCTCGCTGCCTCTTTGAGTGAATGAAGGGTTTGCTGTGAGATTATTTTGACACATGGACTGTTTTTCTGTGTTCCAATTCTCACAATACCTTTAACTTTTAACACATTTTCTTCCAAGCTTAGTTTATTTCTCATCACAACATTGTAGTGCACCAAATATTTGGCCACATAATGTTAGGTTGAGAAAAAAACCTTCTTAACCAACTTTGCTCTGTTGCTATACTCCCCTTGACACCAGCTTTGTAGATATAAACCAGCTTCAGCAGATAATGCGTCTGACAGGAACACCCCCTGCAACTCTAATTAACAGGATGCCCAGCCATGAGGTGAGAATGACCCACAGCTGCTTTCTTTGGAAGGACCAAGAAGTTGGCGATGTCAGACACTTTGCTGCCCTGTTCTTTGCCATCAGTATTTTAGTTTCACTATTGTTGAGTGGGCAGATGGCACGGTGGCGCAGTTGAAAGAGCTACCGTCTCTCAGCGAGAACGTTGTCGGATCAAATCCTGGCTGGGGCCTTTCTGGGTGGAGTTTGCATGTTTTCTCTGTGCATGTGTGGGTTTTCTCTGGGTTTCCTCCCACAGACCAAAAACATGCATGTTAGGCTGATTGGTAACTCTAAATTGTCCCTAGGTGTGAGTGAGAGAGTGAATGGTTGTTTGTCTCCATGTGTCCCTGTGATGGACTGGAGACCTGTTCAGGGTGTCCCCCGCCTCTCACACAGTGACTGCTGGATATGGGCACCAGTGACCCCCATGACCCGAAAAGGAAGAAGTTGGTAAAGATAATGGATGGGATGTTGACAGTATTTCAACAATAAAAACCATTTTAGATCCAGGATTCTTTTTTAAATTCATGAACAACTGATTAACTTGCTGATGCTGGAGCTTCTTCTCTTTCACAAACTAAATAGTTTGTGAAAGAGAAGAAGCTCCAGCATCAGCTACAGTATTTTCATCCTTTGAGTAACAAAATCAGTATTTGAACCAAGACTGGACCAAAGTGAGTTTAACTTTGTATTCTGTGAACAATTAAAGGGTTAATGTCATGGTAAGCAAAGAACACAAATCCTGTTATGCCCACAGGCATGAGCTCCAGATTAACTACTGCAGTGATGTGTCTCACATGCTTGCAGCACACGATCGTAACATTTCCTTTCGTTCTTTCTTTTGGAAGTACAGCACTCAGTTTGTGGCTAAAATTAAAAATATCCACTTCCCAGTTGGCTTAATTATTTTGTTCTGTAGTTTACCAACAAGGTTTTCCATTTGAAGATTATTTCCTCTGGGTTTCTTTCTGTTTTGTACATGCTTCAAATTATTTTTTGTATACATGTAAATTTCTTTTTATACTTTTAAATTTATTAGAAAAAATGACCACAGGTTTTATCAAAACATTTTTTTGTTTGTTTTTGTATAGTAACTGAATTGTTCTGAGGTTTCCAATAGTTTTTGTCATTAGGGGGTTTGTTTCTTGAGGGGTTCTTGGTCTCTGCATTACTCAGACGTATTTTCACCGCAGCAATGGTTTTATGTTGGTAATAAAACAAGTTTGTTGTTGCATGTCTGTGCTAGTTTTGCTCCAACATTTGATTTTATGTATTGGTGTATTTTTCTAGGCCAGGACTTATATCAACTCTTTACCACGCACGCCCAAGAGGAACTTTTCAGATGTATTTGTTGGTGCCAACCCAATAGGTACTACAAAGAAAAAACAATTTGATCAGAAAGTAGACAGTGATTAATAGACTGACATGCTGGCCTTTTCATTTTCAGCTGTGGATCTTCTGGAGAAGATGCTGGTTCTGGATACAGACAAGAGGATAACGGCTGCTCAGGCTCTGACTCATCCGTACTTTGCTCAGTATCACGACCCAGACGATGAGCCTGTGTGTAAACCACTGGACCAGAGCTTTGAGAGCCGAGAGCTAGAGATTGAAGAGTGGAAACGTATGTCGTTTGTACTTTTACATTTTTTTAAATTAATACTAGATTCCTTGGTTAGCAAAGTAGTCCTGTGTCTTGTTTCAATTTCATAACTTTTTTTCTTTCTTTCTTGCAGGCCTAACCTATGAGGAGATGTGTAGTTTTGAGCCACCTGTCTTTTATGAAGATGAGATCGAGTAGTGAGACGAGCCACCTGCTTCACCCACAGCCTTTTACCATGTGCATTAGTGTCCAAACTTTCAGGCACCCATCATACTGCCTGTCAAACACTGTTTTTATTACAGAAATATGGCCAGTGATCAACTGTAAGGAGATAATTTCCAGCACAGGACGAACAACTGGACCAGCTTTATATAATTTTTATTTATAAACCACTATTGATGATGGTCTATTGCTGGAGAATGTCACTTTCTGCCAACTGCCTATAATGATTTTATATTTTTCACATTTCTAAACGGAGTAGAATTTGACTCATCACTGTGATGCTGAACCACCTGGACCTATAGTTGTGCTTGTGTGTGTGTGTGTTTTGAATTTTTCGTTTAGTAATTTATAAATACACTTTTGTTTATGAATATGCTAGTTTGTCAGCCTCCTGGCTAAGTTGTCACAAACAGCATTGATTTCATTTAAATTTTTAAAAATCCTGTTGAATTAAATTTTTTTATGGTTTTAAATGGTCAGCAGTGAATTAATTTTTTTAAAGATTTAAGACATGTCTGTTTTTGACTATGAATTTATGAGCCCATCAACTAAATTTGAATAAACTTTCACACATGTTTAAAATTTAAATGTATTGTTAAACTCTGTAAATTCTGAGTTTCTGCTAGTCAAAGATGCTTTGGAGAAAAGGGAAACATTTACGAACACATGCTCTGCTCATATTTAAACATTTGTGCCTTAAAAAAAACAACAACTGTTTTTTGGTTAGGAAATCGATGTTCCCTTGTACATTTGTTTTCACTTGTGTGATGATCGTTTACAGAGATTTTAAGTGTTCTGCTACAATTTACTGTATAAAAGAGACAAAACTGCTTAACTGTGTCAAAGATGGATTTGTATTTATACTGTTTGAAGGTGGCATTTATGAGCAACAGCCAGAAGACCCCTTAAGCTATTTTGGGTCCTGCAAGTTAACTGCAATCCCCAGTCTTTAATAAAGATCCATTTTAAGAGAACTCTATTCTTTTTCTGATTATTTAAAGGTTTTCTTTGATAGTAAATATAGATTAGTGGTAGTTTTGACTTACCAGTATTTAGCTCTATGTTTTGACAGTTGCAACATATAGCTAATATGTACAACAAGACTTTAATCAGTGGTCCTGAACAAATGTTTTTAGAAGCACTGCATAGCAAGCGAAAAAATACGAAGAATTAAGGAACAACCTTGAGGCTTTTGCACAGTGTAGTATTTTTTTTCTCCATTCAGTGACGTCATCTTAAATATTCAGCAGGCAAGTTCAGTTTTTGCAACTTCATGCGTCAGTCCATAAAGGTGGCTTTATGCTCAGATAAAACGTTATTTTTAAATATGAATGTTTCTGTTAACTTATTTTTATATATGAATATTTCTGTTCAGTGCCCTACGACAACTTATGTTGTGACTTAGCGCAATATAAATAAAACTGAATTGAATTGATGCTCCGGCATAAACGTCACTGATGGAAGATCCACTTTGGCTCGATAATCCAATGCGCATGCGTGGAACATTCGATCACTGGCGGAGTAGCTAACCGCTAGGCTACGAATCCGGCCGACATGGAGAGAAAAGGTAAATCTTTACGCGACACCCAGCAGACAGTAATGTTTGTTCAAGTGTGGTTGATGTCCCCTCGCTGTCACAAACGTTAACATTTAGCCAAGCTGCAGTTATTAAGGCGTAAAGATTTATTCGGCGATAATGTCACGCACTGCGGCGCTAGAACGAGCTATGTTAGCTCTGCAAGACATTAGCTTATTAGCATTAGCCTTTGTCAGGATTAACGCAATACGTTCAGCTTTGTAGCTCTTTCTATTTTTAAAGCACTGACACACACACACACACATATCTATCTATCTATATATATATATATATATATATATATATATATATATATATATATAT